ATATGCCATTGGTAGGAATTGTTGTCAGCAATAAGCCTCATGGTATAAAATAAGTCTGACTTACCAAGATTTTACATAGTGTGTACATTTCTATACATGTATTGCTGCAATTGACAGACAGAAAATAAAATAAAATCAATTTTTAACAAATTCTCTATGACCAAATCTTGATTAATGTTTTCGTTCAGTAGACTATGTTTCATGACGTGTATCGCATTCCTAAAAATTCTTTCCTTTCTCGAAAATATAACGAATATAAAAGACATCACTTGATGTTCTGTGATTGTGATATTAATGAATTAATTTTAATATGTAATTTTAATTTCAACACGAGATGTGCTGGTAGTTAAGTACACACTATAGGTACGATAGGGGTCGGCGCTGTTCAACATCGCGTCATAATGGTATTTGTGCATAAATTATGATGTAACAATGGGAACCGTGCATAAATTAGCATAAATGTGACGTCACAATGAGAATATGTGCATAAATTACCATAACTTGTCGTGAAGGGGAATTCGAATGATGATGATGCCACAATGGGATAATGTGAATAAATCTTCATAAAGAAGTATGTTTTAATTCGAGGAAGTAATGAGGTCGTCGTGAATAAATTAACATAACTTTTTAAATCGAACGAGCATTAACGTCACAGTCAGATGAATTTCTCTGAATGAATCGTATAGGGCGCTCATACACACGTACACATAACCATTCACCTGCTTACGCTAATAAATACACGGTATTTTTCAAACTAACGAAGTTTATTACAAAAAAGAGGGATAAAACTAGATGAACTCAGTTACATGGAATATCATTTTTTGAATAAATAAGTAAAATGAATAATAATAATAATTGTTTCAAAATGTCTAGCTGGCAAAGAGTGCTGACAGAATTCCCTTTAAAATGTCAATTTCTAAACTCTATTTTTATGCTGTGATAAAACATTCCCACACCTTAATACATCCACGGTGAAATTGCTTTGAAAGTGAATGGTTACTGTTGCAAGATTTGTTCCATCAGAGAAAGCTGTTCTTTTGGGGGTCACGTCTGTGCCAGGACAGTGTTATCAAAAAACACAAGTTCATTCAAAAGTTTTTAGATGTATGACTGCACAGCTTCAAGATGTCATGGCTAAACGATCTCTACCCATATAATGGGATGAAATGACCTCTACTGTAAATAAGGTAATCGATACAGTTTAATATTTTTGTTTTCATGTTGTAAACACGAGCCAATGATATTGGATATGTGGGTATTTGTTTTTTCAAATGATCAGTTAAAGCAGGGGAGGTGTCAACCCATGAGTCTTTGCGATTTTAATGTATGTTGTACATCAATGCCTTTTTATTTATTTATACTGACATGAATGATAGTGACGAGAAAACGTTTTGTCAAAATGTTTTAGTTGGTTGAAATGGACTGGGTCGTAAAAGTTTTGCATCCAAATGCCAATACGTTCGATGAAGTGCATAGCGTATTACACTGCTCGAACTTTTCACCTCTTAACTTGACGGACGTGACCAAATTCGTATTTTCATAAACGTACCCAACTTGAACAACGAAACATCGGTGTGGAACTCTATGAAGAAGAAAAAACGACGAGATCCTCTATGCAAACTGGCCGGGAGAACGTCCAGAGTCAAACAGGGTCCATGTGGCATAGAAGAGATTAACAATGTCCAGAGTGTGTTACCGGGTTTCAGAACACACGTATTGTCACGCGATCATTTTTACTCCATCATCTTTGTGGGCAATGTCGCAGGCAGGGAGGCTTTTCTAAGCGGTCGTACTAATACCCTGTGTCTGTATTGCGAGATCAAGGAAGGTGAAGGTGAGTATGTTGACTTTTGCAGCCTCTACCCATACATCAATAAGACCTCGAGATATTCAGTTGGGCACCCGACAGTCGTAACTAAAGACTTTATCACCAAACCCACGGACTGTTTCGGTATTATCAAGTGCAACGTTTTACCTTCGGGAGATTGTATATACCAGTTCCACCTTTCAGGGTGAACAACAAACTGATGTTCCCACTCTGTTCTAAATGCGGGGAAACCATGAATCAAGACGAGTGTCAACATGATGTCAATGAATGCCAGCTAACGGGTGTTTGGTGCACTTCAGAATTGGAAAAAGTAGAAGAGATAGGATATCGCATCACCAAGGTATATAAAGTTTGGCATTACGATGAGTCGACAACCTACATGAACCTAGATGAACTGATGACAGAAACGGGTAATAATAAACAAATCGCCCAGTTCTTCATATAAAGGGATCCCACCATCGAAA